TAAATACACTTAAAAAGTTACAATGATTTAGTTGGCAAAGACTAAAAAGATTTTCTCTTCCCTTTGTTGATCTAATAATATCATGACCATTAAAAAAAAAAAAAAACTACTAAGTAGTAGTATTCTATATAGAGATAACAATCTAGCACTACTTTCCTAATGGTAAAATTCTTATTAAAGAATAAAGACATATTGAATTAAGTTTGTAGCTTATTGATAGGATGATATTGTCTTGCATCCTTTGGTGAGTTTTGTATTTCTTTAGATTAATCTCCTTGTGAGGTTTAAATTCTACTCAATTAATGTTTTACGTCTACAGTTTTTAAGTTTAAGAGTATAAACAACATTATTTTATATGCTCTTATTTCAATATTCTATATATAATTTATCTACATATATAATAGATTAAATTATTTGACATTTAAAATTATTTAACAAAGTAAACCAATAAAAAAAAAATTTGTCACATGTATCGTATAATGTTGAGAGAAGAGTGAAAGATAAGTGTTGCTGGTACCCTTCTTATCAAGTTTTACCTTCGATAGAGCAATCAGGACAAGACTTTAATAGACTTTTAGGCCCAGGATTAGTTGGATGATGTTCTTGGGTCGTGTGTTTGTTGAACGAATGGTTGTTTTTTTAATTATATATTGAAGGGAGTTATTTGATATCATAAAAATTTTAATTTATAATTTTAATTTTAAATTATAATTTTTACGATAGTAAGTATCAACTCAAATAAGTTTTTATCAATCTTAATTATATAATATAAAATAAGAAAAAAAAATCAATAAATTTATTTAACAAGTTAAAAATAAAATTTTTTTATTCTATACTTTTAAAACACAAAATAAAAGTGTATTTATTGTAACTTATTATTATTAATACACATAGTAAAACAAAAAATTAATATTAATTTTACCAAATATCCAATAAAAATTATCAATGTGTCATAAATGTTCAAATTAATACTAATTTTTTTAATGTAAATTAATGCATAATGAATGATAAAAATGTTCAAGAAGTACACCATTATCAAAATCCTAAAAATAATCAAGCTTTAAATTGAATATTTTCTACTAAATCAAAAAATAAAAAAATATACAAGAATTAACACATTTCTATTATTAAGAATAGTTATTCCTTTTCCTTTTCCTTTAATTTAAAAGAAAATTAACTTATTTAATTAAAAAATAATAATTTCCCCAACCAATCAACCCTTTAATTGCTTAAAATATTTCACATTCCTTAAAACATGTCAAAGTAGAGAATGAACGAACTCAATACAAAGTATTCATTAAAGAAATCAAAACAATTATGTAATTTAAAAGCAAAATTATAAAGGATGAAACATGTGGTTTCTAGTTCACTTTGTATCTATTTTTTTAGACGGTATCCATCAATCCTATACTTTATCTAGAAAACACCAAGAAATAACGAATCAAAGGCAAAAAAAAAAAAAAAAAAAAAAAAAAAGAGGCAAAAAGGCAAGTAAAATGACGGAGGAAAGCGGACACAAAAGCGTAAAGAACTGCAGATGGCGCGTGAAAAGTGAGAGTGGGCTAACTACAAAGAGAGAAATAGTCAAAAAGCAAAATACCGCTAGAAATCGGCCAGTGAGAGAAGTTCTTTTGTAAATATCGCGAAAGCGACTGCACAAAAGGCATAGAATAGCTGGTGGGGACAGACTGGACGTGAGTACCGAATATTCAATAGATTTGAATTAGTGGTTTGGAATCCGCTCCCTTTGTCTTATCATCTCACTAATCGATAAGTCGATTGTTAGATCTGATAAGTGAAAGTACTTATCAAAATAAGTCAACTGACCTCTCACGGATCAGTGATAATTCAGTGGAAAAAGAAAGACCCCTGCACAGCGCATCGAAGATAGCGAGACCAAGTCTCTCTCCCTCTCTCTCTTCTTTATCTTCTCTTTCGCAGTCTTCGAATTCAAACCCTAGAAATCCTCGGATTTGGAGCTGATATAAACCCTAGAGCCCTAGAATTCGTCGGTTCTCTTTGTGTAGGTGTTTCTGAGCTGTTTAAGCTCAGATTTGAACTTCAACTTTCTTAATTTGGGCTGTTTCTGGTTCTGATTTGGCTGGAATTCGGTTTTGTTATACTTCTGGTTCTTGGGGGTCCAGGCTCCAGAGATCGGTTTTCTGGCTGCGGATTTGAGGTCGGCAGAGATGTCGTCTTTGAGTAGAGAATTGGTTTTTCTTATACTCCAGTTCCTGGAGGAAGAAAAGTTTAAAGAATCTGTTCACAGGTAAGTTTAATCATCTTTCTCTCTATATATGGCTTTGTGTTCGGTGTTTATTGTTTTTTATGTTTTTGTTTACATGAGCATATTTGTGTGGGAGATTGAAAGAGAAGCATAGGAAATGAGAATCTCAAGTTTTATATGTTAGTTTTGGTTTTTGGAAGAGGTTAGGTGCGAATAAGTTAAATATTAGTGTTAATTTGAGTTTTAGTGGTGCTTTTGCTTCATATTTCTTAAATTTGGTAAAAAATCTTAAATATAAGATTTTGGACGGCCAAAAAAAGGGTGTAAGGCATTAGTTTATTTTATGGTAGGTCTTAATTTTGTTGAGATTTGAGATTTAATTGTCTGTTGGTGGAAACTGGTAGGAGGAAAGAAATTGATAAGGAAGTTGCTATTGTCGCGTGGAAGTGTAATTGTTAGTGTGTGAGTTCTGGTAACTGGATGGTGAGCGGTTTGTTATAGGGATTTAAGTGCTAGATAGTCTTTAATGTAGTTACAAGTTTTGTATCCCACTGTCGGCTCATCTTTTTGGCGAAGTCAATAGAGCCCTCAGATGTCTTATTATTTGTCATTTGGTCATGGATAAAAGATGCAAACTAAATGGAATAATTTTGTTGCTTTCTGTGTTTTATGCCGTTTTGGTTATCAGAAGAGAGGAAGAAATAGGAAAACAGAAATGATAACTAAGTCTGACAAAGCTGCCTTCTACCTGTCAAAATTCGAAAAGTAAAGCAAATGTTTTGTCCTTTTGTAAGTTAAGCTGCCAAATAGGACATAAATTCAATGCACTGGAAGTATACTCTATAGGTGGCCTCCTCTGCTCGGTGGAACAATTGGAAAAAAAAGGGAAAAGCCCTTACAGTTTCTCTTTTCCCTTGCATGTGTCCTTGTCATGATTTGTATTAGCAGTTACCAGATTGCTTATTTACTTTTGTTAAAGTGTTATTTTTGTTTTTTTAGGCTTGAAAAAGAATCAGGGTTTTTCTTCAACATGAAGTTCTTTGAGGAGAAAGTTCAGGCTGGAGAATGGGAAGAAGTTGAGAAGTATTTATCTGGTTTTACCAAAGTTGATGATAACAGATATTCCATGAAGATATTCTTTGAGATAAGGAAGCAGAAGTATCTTGAAGCACTTGATCGGTATTGTTAACCCTTACTGTTGATCAGTGAATAAATTTTGTGGTCACTTTGAAAGAGTATGACTGTTTTCTCTTTGGTTGTTTACTCAATATCGTAGGCAAGACAAGGCAAAGGCTGTTGAAATACTGGTGAATGATTTGAAGGTGTTCTCAACATTTAATGAGGAATTGTACAAAGAAATCACTCAACTTTTAACTCTAAACAATTTCAGGTAAATTTTTTTCCCCACATATATATCATTTAGATTATCTGTCAAGGCATGGCATTGATGGTTGGCCACTGTTTTTGGATCATTTTGGTTGCAAAAATCTTGTGAATTATTGGATTAAATAAAACAACATACTTGGCAAGTTTGGAATTTTTATTCTGAGAAAGTCAAGAAATAGAAATCTGTTCTCAGTTAAGCCTAATTCAGAACTTGCCTTTGTCAAACAATTGTTTCCATTTCATATAAGGGAAATCAATTGGATTTATGAAGTAATCTTAGGTATTACTCTGAAGCCACCATTAATGTTATATGATTGTATTATTCTCATCCTCTACTCTATTATTATCGTAATGAGTACAGGGAAAATGAGCAGCTATCCAAATATGGTGATACTAAAACAGCTCGCAGTATAATGTTGATAGAGCTGAAAAAACTCATTGAAGCAAATCCACTTTTCCGTGATAAGCTTGTTTTCCCTACCTTGAAGTCTTCTAGATTGCGGACTCTTATCAATCAAAGGTGAAGTTGATACAACTCTTGGGTTCTGCATGCTATCATCATTATTTTTTATTTTTCAGTTATTTTGTTTAAGAAATGATCAAATGTTTGGCTTCCATTTAAAAAGTTTGTAATCAATATAAATTTGGGGATTATAATGCTAACTGCTTTGGATTGAGTATAAATGTTTACTGGCTGTTGTCATCATCATAATTAATTTTTTGCTTGGAAATCAAAATTATTTCGTTTATGTTTGTAATACACAGAAAGGGGGGTCTCTTCCTTTTCCTCTGCTGCAATGGTTCAACTTCCTTTTTTACCAATATGAATTGTAAGTATTGGTTCATGCAGCTTGAACTGGCAGCACCAGCTATGTAAGAACCCCAGGCCAAATCCAGACATCAAGACTTTATTTACAGATCACTCATGCACACCTCCAAATGGTCCACTTGCACCAACACCTGTCAACCTTCCAGTTGCTGCAGTTGCAAAGCCTGCTGCTTATACATCTCTTGGAGCTCATGGTGTATGATATTACACATCCTTTATTTTTCTTATTTGCATCTGCAGCTCTATCTTTTTTCTATATATATAATATACAATCTCCCTGCTCCATGAATGCTGACTATTAAAAGACTCTCACTTCTTGCAATGCAGCCCTTTCCACCAACGGCTGCAGCAGCAGTAGCAGGTAATGCTGGTGCTTTAGCAGGTTGGATGGCCAATGCTTCTGCGTCTTCATCTGTTCAAGCTGCTGTTGTTACTGCATCATCCATTCCTGTCCCACAAAATCAAGGTTAGAATGTAACGAGTTTGCATACAGGCTTCTTTTGAAAATTGGAAACTTTTAGGGAAAATGTTGGGTAGCATGGGATCAATGAACAATACTCGAGTGCTAGTTTGATCTATAATTTCTTAGTTATCAAGGAATTGACTTTTTTTTCATATTTCATTTTTTAAAATCTTTGACATGTTAATCAATTTTTCTTTCCTTGCTGTTAAACAAAGAATGTTCAATATATCTCAAAAGGTATATGTCTTGGTAGTTTATGTGATTTTCACTTCAATTTGAGTAGTGCCAGTATTGAAACGACCAAGAACTCCCCCAGGAGCACCTGGCATGGTTGATTATCAGAGCCCAGATCATGAACTAATGAAACGCTTGCGGCCTGCTCCATCGATAGAGGAGGTAGTTTGAAACTTCTTTTTAGTTATATGCAATTCTAGTCTAAATCATTTTTGTCAATTTGTATGCATGGACTCATTCTCAGTGTTGATATGTTTTTCATTGCTTCAATTTTTAGGTTACATATCCAACAGCAAGACAGCAAGCTTGGTCACCTGATGACCTGCCACGAACTGTAGCTTTTCCCATACATCAAGGATCCACTGTGACAAGCATGGATTTCCATCCTTTTCACCATACACTGCTTCTTGGTATGAAATTTTGGCTGTTTGTTTAGACAAATGTTCTGGTGATTTTAAAGCTATGCTTATTTTGACCGTATTGAATTTCGTCTTCTAACTTGATGCTATTTGGCAGTCGGTTCTAATAATGGTGAAATTACCCTCTGGGAATTGGGGCTGCGGGAGAGGTTGGTTCCAAAGCCATTCAAGGTTTGGGATATGGCAACCGGTACACTGCCATTTCAGGTTTGCATGTCATTGCTTACTAAGCTTTTTCCAAGTTTCAACAAATTGGTGCAACTAATTGGAGAATTATGATTGAAATTATATGCAGGCTCCACCAATATCCGTCAGCCGTGTCACATGGAGTCCGGATGGGAATTTTGTTGGTATGTGCCCTTCGAACAGCATAGCTGGTATTTTTTTAAAGTGTACATGCTTATACTTATTTTGGTTCTTGCTGCAGGGGTTGCATTTACTAAACAGTTAGTTCATTTGTATGCTTATCATCATGGATCAAATGATCTACGTCAGCAACTAGAGGTAGAATTATATTTTGTTTCTTCCCAGCTAGCTGCAATTTTTAACTGCTGCTTACATTTGTTTATGATCATAGATTGATGCCCATGTTGGAGGTGTAAATGACTTGGCTTTTGCTCATCCAAACAAACAACTTTGTGTGGTTACTTGTGGGGATGACAAGCTAATAAAGGTGAGTGATGGTAAATTCTCACAAAAGTTTTGTTTAAATTGGAAAATTTTCATTATCTAACTGGAAGAAATGGGACAGGTGTGGGACTTAAATGGACGGAGGCTGTTCAATTTTGAAGGCCATGATGCAGCAGTATATTCTATCTGTCCACATCATAAAGAGAGTATTCAGGTAATATTTGACATTGGTACTCCACTGACTCTGTAGCTCATCTTGGTAAAACTGAATTGCCACTACTGCTCATCATCAGTACTTTCATTTGTTGATTTTCCATGGCCAATCTTTTATTGCAGTTCATATTCTCTACTGCTGTTGATGGGAAAATCAAGGCTTGGTTGTATGACAATATGGGTTCCAGAGTTGACTATGATGCTCCTGGTCATTGTTGTACGACAATGCTTTACAGTGCTGATGGAAATAGGTATGTTTGTGAAATTTAAAATGAGAATTTTAAGTAATTCTGGAGTAAATAACTTTGATTTGGAATCCTTTCAATTTTTATATACTTGTAACATCTTTATTGAAACTTTTGTGGTAAATGATTTTCCAATCCATCTTTTGAACCTTCTTTTTTCTGCTTCTTTTGGGCAGTTTGCTGGGAAGCTTCTTTTAAGTTCATTTATTAACACTGGCTCTGTTTTACAGATTGTTCTCTTGTGGAACAAGTAAAGAAGGAGAGTCATATCTAGTTGAGTGGAATGAAAGTGAAGGAACAATTAAGAGGAGTTACAATGGGTTTAGAAAGAAATCAAATGGTGTGGTTTCATTCGACACAACACAAAATCACTTTTTAGCTGCAGCTGAAGATAGCCAGATAAAATTTTGGGATATGGACAGTGTCAATCTTCTTGCCGCTACAGATGCTGACGGTGGACTTCCGGTCAGTGGGATATTAAAATTCCATAACTCTTGTGCTAAACCTCTCTGCCTTTTAATCTGTTTATTTATATATCTATTAATTTTGTTAGAGTCTTCCCCGCTTGAGATTCAATAAGGAAGGAAATCTACTAGCTGTTACTACAGCTGACAATGGATTCAAAATACTTGCAAATGCTGTTGGTCTCAGATCTTTAAGAGTAATCGAGACACCACCTTTTGAAGCATTGAGAACACCCATTGATTCTGCTGTAATTAAGGTTAGAGTCATTTCTCTTGTTCTGCCTGATGTTCCCCAATAATGCTTTTATACTGAAATGTGCAAGTTTCTTACTTTTGTTCGGTTAGGTTTCTGGTACTTCTGCAGTTCCTAGTGTAGGTCCTGTCAGTTGTAAAGTGGAAAGGAGCTCTCCTGTTAGGCCTTCTGCAGTACTGGTATGTTGGTTTAATTTTGAACTTGTTTCCTGAATGATGGATGCCAGTTGAAGCCTGCAACAGTAATGATATATTTTAAAACAGTAATCATATATTTTATACCATACAAACTTGAACGAATGGTTAGCATTATTCATTACCATTAGGAGCATGTGATTAGCTGTAGGGGAAAATTTAGGGGTCAAATCTTTTTCTACTTTATACATTGCCTTTAATGGTTTTCTTGCCACATTTCACCCTGCCATTTTTCTTTTCATGGGTTCTGTTATAAGTTGATCCAACAAATTTGAAGACTTTTCCTGTGAATCAATTTGTTAGTGCATATGATTACATTGTTTTGAGATTTTTTTTTTTCCTTTTTCAAGAATGGAGTGGATCCCATGGGAAGAAGTGTTGAAAAGCCAAGAATTTTGGATGATGCAATGGACAAGGCAAAACCCTGGCAGTTGGCTGAAATTGTAGACCCTCTTCAGTGTCGTTTAGTTACTTTGCCTGAAAGCACAGATGCTTCTAGTAAGGTGTGTTCATTATCTCAAAGTAAATATTTTTCATGCTGTAATTTTACACAGGTAGCTAAATAATTGCGTTCTTGAAGGTTGTTCGGCTTCTATATACGAATTCTGGTGTTGGCATTTTGGCACTTGGGTCAAATGGTGTTCAGAAGCTGTGGAAGTGGCCTCGAAATGAACAGAATCCAAATGGAAAGGTAATTTGTAGATAATAATAATTTCAGTTATCTTTTTCCTTTGAATAAATAATTGATTCTTAAACTTTTTAAATGATATTTTTTATTGGTGAAGAGATTTCTGAAGTCAGTTAAACTTTAAAGGCCACTGCCAGTGTTGTGCCACAACATTGGCAACCGAACAGTGGTCTTCTTATGAATAATGATGTCACAGGTGTCAATCTTGAAGAAGCAGTCCCATGCATTGCACTCTCAAAGAATGACTCATATGTAATGTCAGCTACAGGTGGAAAAGTTTCATTGTTCAACATGATGACTTTCAAGGTATGTCAGGGTATGTTTATGTATCTAAAATTTAGTAAATGTTTGCATTTAAAATTTTTTCTAATAATACTGGGTTTTGCAGGTGATGACAACATTCATGGCTCCTCCTCCAGCTTCAACCTTCCTAGCATTCCATCCCCAGGATAATAATATCATAGCTATTGGAATGGAGGATTCGACCATACACATTTACAATGTTAGGGTGGATGAGGTCATTGCTTCATTGCACTGTTTCCATCTATGCTTAATTATTCTTTTTCTGCAGGGGATTTTGCCTGCTTTCTCAGATGGGATTTGAATTATTTATTTTGACTTTTCTAGGTGAAATCAAAATTGAAGGGTCATCAAAAGAGAATTACTGGTTTGGCCTTTTCAACCAGTCTTAATATTTTGGTTTCTTCTGGTGCTGATGCTCAAGTAAGTGGAATCCAGGATTCACAACTGATATGGAAAAAGGGGGAAAAAATGACGTTGCTTGTCTAAATTTAGATCTTATTTATGTGGTTTAAATGATATAAGATGTATTTTATACAAAAACCAAGCTTCTTTATGATGTATTTCTCAAGGTCTATGTGTGACATCTTTTTAATTATTGTGCTTTATGTCATCATGTCTCTCTCATTCTTACTTGTATTTGTTCAGACATTTTAGTCTAGTCTGTGATGCTAATGATTCATACCATGATTGACATCATGGATTCATAATTCATATCAGTATCTTCTCTATATCTGCAGCTGTGTGTGTGGAACATTGATACCTGGGAGAAGAGAAAGTCGGTTATGATACAAATTCCAGCAGGAAAGGCACCTACTGGCGATACACGAGTACAATTTCACATGGATCAAATCCGTATGCTGGTAGTTCATGAGACTCAGCTAGCTATATATGATGCATCCAAAATGGAGCGTATTAGACAGGTATGCAGTTGACATAAATCCAAAAATATATTGCTTTGATAAGTGATGGCATTTTCTCATGTATTTATCTGATGCAGTGGATCCCACAAGATGGTCTGTCAGCACCAATTTCATATGCAGCATACTCTTGCAATAGCCAATTGATTTATGCTACATTCTGTGATGGTAGCATTGGTGTGTTTGATGCTGATACCTTGAGACTTAGATGCCGTGTTGCTCCAACAGCATACTTATCCCAGGCCATCTTAAGCGGGTAAGTTGGTGCATGCATCATCACTTTTGTTTAGAACCCCATGGAGAATTTTCTAAAGTTGACTTAATCTTTTAAACTTGTGGGTGTATTATTTTACAGAAGCCAAGCTGTATACCCTCTTGTTGTTGCCGCACATCCACAGGATCCAAACCAATTTGCCATTGGATTGACTGATGGATCTGTCAAGGTGATGGAGCCAACAGAGTCTGAGGGGAAGTGGGGGGTGAGTCCACCTATTGATAATGGAATTCTGAGCGGCAGAACAACTTCATCATCAACCACAAGCAACCACACACCAGAACAATTACAAAGATGAGATATTTTTAAATCTCATGCCTAAATTATGTAGATTTATTTAGGTTTTCAATCTTCATATGTATGTCTGTGTCAAAGCTAAGCTTGGAAAGATCAGTGTATTTACTTACATTTCTAGTTAACCATATTTAATTATTCTTCAGTTCTCTTACCTTCTTCTCTGTGAGACTGGCTTGTGCCTGGAAAAGTGGAAATGCTTACTGTATTTGATGTTTCTTATTATTTTATTTAATAAACTCAATTATGATTTTATTTCCTTGGAGGTTGGGAGTTCTTAGAGGATTTCTTCTAGTTTTCAAATGTCTTCGAGTTTGCATAGGGGTAGGGATTGTTTTGCAACCTACCTCTTGATTCCTGAAGCATAAGCACTTAGAGAGCCTCGGAGGGGAAGAGAAGGGAGCAGAGGGAAGGAGAGAGAGAGAGAGGAGAG